TCGTTGATGAGGGTCAGTCTCAGAAGGTGCTCAGGTTCGATGATGGCCGTATGGTCAGTCAGATGAATAGTCCGCGATCTGGCTATCGCGAGCAAACTGATACCAGTTGGTATACAAACCAACTTCAAGAGGCTGCATTGTCTGTTGAGAACGCAGATGTACAACGGTCACCACCTACACGCTCAGAGATACTTAACAGAGAGGATCCATCGCCCAATAACGGGTCCCAGTCGGACTACAGCCAGTTTCCAAGTTTTGCCTCTTTGGATGAAGTAAGCAGGACTCCCAACATTTCGTCTCCGCGGGAAGAAGTTCGAGCGGAGACGCCGGATAAACAACCACCAGTAGAGGATGAGGAAATAAATAATCATTCAAACAAACAAGAAAATGACCAAACTGAGGCACCTTCAGCAGCACTGCCGCTGTTGCGCGAATCCTTCCCGACTAAACCAGCAATGACTTCCGAAGAGTACAATGCGCAGTTGTTGTCGGATCCACACATGAGGAATTCCAGTGTTGCAAATCCTCAATTCATCCAACAGTTTTACAGCGAATCTCGTCTACATCATTTGTCAACATGGAAGGCCGATCTCAAAGCCCAGTTGCAGTCTGCAGCCAAAGAAAAATTGCTGTCACAGGTGAAACGCAAGAAGCCAGCCCCCGGGGCCCGGAGGTATATCATGCATGTCGATTTCGATTGCTTCTTTGCCGCCGTGTCGACCTTGAAGCGCCCGGAGCTGCAGGGAAAGCCTGTCGCGGTGGCGCACGGCACTGGCTCGGGCTCGGAGATAGCGAGTTGCAACTACGAAGCCCGAGCCCATGGCATCAAGAACGGCATGTGGATGAAGGGAGCGCTGCAGACATGCCCAGAGCTAAAGGTGGTACCTTATGATTTTCCAGCATACGAAGAGGCCAGTCGGAAGTTCTACAGTGCCATTCTTTCAGTGGACGGTATCGTGCAGAGTGTCAGCATTGACGAGGCCCTGGTGGACATCACTACACAATGTCTGGAGGCTGGTGGCTCGGATGGTAGGGGCATCTCGGAGGGTTCACTCTATAGGGAACAGGCAAGGGCGGATGAAATAGCCGACGACTTACGAGCCACTGTAAAGAAAGAGACGGGCTGCGCTGTTTCCGTGGGTATTGGAGGCAACATTCTTCTGGCTAAGGTTGCCCTACGGAAAGCGAAGCCGGCAGGTCAATTTCAGCTCAAACCCGATGCGGTTCTTGATTACATCGGTAACTTGACAGTTCAAGATCTTCCTGGAGTGGGATATAGCCTGGGTGCAAAGTTAGAGGAATTGGGAGTCAAAATTGTCAAAGATGTTCGAGAACTCACCCGCGATAGACTCACGACGAGCCTTGGACCTAAAACCGGAGTCAAGATCTGGGAATTTGCCCGCGGTATCGATCGAACTGAAGTCGGAAACGAAGTTCTTAGGAAGTCAGTATCTGCCGAAGTCAATTGGGGGATTCGCTTCGTGAATCAGACCCAAGCTGAGGACTTCGTGCGGTCTTTGTGCCAGGAACTGCATCGCAGACTGGTCGAAAATCTTGTAAAAGGCCAACAATTAACTCTCAAGGTCATGCGCAGAGCACTCGACGCGCCATTAGAACCAGTGAAACATCTGGGCCATGGCAAGTGCGATGTGTTCAACAAAAGTGTCGCCCTCGGCGTTGCCACGGATGCAGCCGATATTCTGGGCAAAGAGGCAGTTGCCATGCTACGAAGCATGAATCTATCACCCGGCGACTTGAGAGGGCTGGGTGTTCAGATGACCAAACTCCAGCATCTCCAGGCGGGCTCTCCATCAAAATCTGGACAACGACAACTCAATTTCAAAGCATCTCCGGTCCGCAAAAGCATTGAACGTCACGATCCTGATATTCTAGACAGTCCTCGGAAAGGGGAGACCGAGTCGGTGAAGCCCGTTCCTTTATTCAGTGAGAGTAGCCGGCTGCTCAATGTTTCGGGAACTCAGTTCATTTTGCCCTCACAGACTGACCCCAAAGTCGTTGCTGAGCTGCCGAACGATATCCGTTCTCGCCTCATCGCTCAGGGTAGACCTCGAGAGGAGTCACGCTCCGAGTCCCCATGCCCTACAAGTCGCACATGGGCGCCCGCCCCTGCAGAACTTCCTCCCCAGTCAGAGCTCGACCCAGAGGCCTTGGCTGCCTTGCCAGAGGATGTGCGCGTCGAGATATTAGGCTACTACAGCCGGCCATCCGTAAGTCCCGGCCCGCAACTCACACCATCTCCAGCTGCTCCCTTGCTGCCGTCTCGGCCCTCCTCTGCCGGCAGTCTTATGATGCGGAAGCCCACCAGTCCTCCGAAGAAACGACGAGGGCGGCCTAGCACCAAGTCAGTCGGCAATCCGGCCTTCACACAGGCTCGGTTCGTCATTCCTAGAGCCACGGCTTCATCTTCAGCTCCCGCCGAACGTCACTCACCTCCACCCAAGCAGACGGATGCCTCGGCTGACTTTCTCGCCGCGCTCCCGGAGGACATACGCCGCGAGGTGCTCCAGGAGCAACAACGAACAAAGAACCTACAGCGACCAGCCGTCAACCCCGCCTCGGCGCCGCGAGCTGCTTCACCAATAACCTCAGATTCGACTACAGTTGCGGCTACAGATCCGCCTGCAACGCCAGAGAAACGGCTCGTCCTACCCCCATTACCAGACCGACCCACTTTTACCTCACAGAGGCTCACGAATTTATCTGACCTGCGGGATGCGATTAGCTCGTGGCACGAGGCGTTCAGCAGCGATGGTCCCTTTGAAGAAGACGTGCTCTCGGTTGGAAGGTATCTTAAGTGTGTCATTGTGGATGAGAGGGATTTGGACAAGGCGACGTCTGTTCTTTCCTGGCTAGTGTGGCTGATCGATGACGAGCAGAACGCGAAGGAGTCGGATGCGTTTAAGACGCCAGACCCAAGTGGCCGAACGGGTAACAGTTCACAGACTGCAATGACGTGGGAAGCTGCGATAAGCAGTCTGCGGGCGAGTGTTGACGAGGGGTGTGCGGAGCGAGGGTTACCTTCTGTAGAACTATGACTTTCAATCCAATTCAATTCGTATTCTTATACCCGATCGAGCCGCCTTCGTTAGATGCCAGCTATGCAGGTGCTTCACCGTTTGAAGAATATGGCCCCGAGCGCCTTCGGAGCCCTCAAACTCGCATTAAACACAGAAATTAACGCAGTCTACGACGTAGGAAACTCGTTGCCATAGCCGGACACAACTAAACACCAAAATTACATAGCAGAAGCATAGTCACACAAGGTCAATATACTGAAAAGAGTGTCGCAGCCGGCCGGCTGCCTGCAAGCTCATCCTCCCCGTTCTTCGTCCTTATCTTGCTCCCAACATGCCTGTTCATTCTGCATGCTTGACCTTCCCCGCTGACTCAAACAGGGCGTATTCAGTTCTTTCTACCCAGCGTCTATCCCCATGGCCCTGAGGCTACGTGTTCACTGGCTTGGTCGGGGTCAGGGTTAGGTAAATTGCCCCAGCAAGCCTGTTTGCAGCATGAATTCGGCAACGTAGCGGATCGCCTGCGGGTCTGATATGAGCGAATCATAGTGAGTAGTAGCCCCCAGATCCGTGCGAGCGGCGATCTTATCAGAATCTAATTGCGTAGACTTACAAAGCGGGAACACGGCAGCAGAACGTGCTTGGGGGGGCGGGATCCCTCCCTGCAGCTGCAGCGGTCACCTTTTGCGCCTTGATCTTTTTATAGAAAGTGGGCTATGCCGATTCTCAGAGTGTGGGCATCTTCATAATCACATACGCATGTGCCTTTGGTAGTGTGACTGTGACACGCCAAGAAAGTAACATGACTAAGGAAAGTCGGTACTATTTCACTAAGACTTTCGTATTAGGAGAAGAAAAGGGAAACTATCTACGACTAATACGTCGAGGGATCGCACCATTATACATATTTCTGTGGCTGACTACCAGCGCGGTAAGCCGCTTCTCTCTCTCCCATATCTCCGCCCGCTAACTTCCTCCTCTTAGTTCGGTTCCTCCCGTAGGCCCCCAGCATCTTTCTTGTGACCTTTCTGGCAAGTTCCATATCTTGAATATCCTCCGGCCGTTGCCATGCGCCGTGCTCGGCGCCTGATGGATCACGTGGCATTGGCGGGACTCATGTGATATGGCATGGGGTGACCGAGGTCTCACACAGTAGGCCCTCGTAGAGCGCGAGAATCTTCCGACTTAGAGGTAGCATTGAGGAGACGCCTGGTGGGGGCTATACATCGAGTCACTGCTTAGACCACTGCTCCTGGAACTTCTTACGAACGGTCCTCTTGGCAGCTGAAACGAGCCGGAGTATCTGTTGTCCCGGCCCGATCCCCCATCCCGCGGTGCGCTTCGCCGTAAAATTCTGCAACCTCGCTCTCTTCGACCCCTACGGGCGCAGTGATCCAGTGGATCACAAGGCCAACCGGACTGCACATTGAAGCACTCTGTATCGACCATAGATGGTGCGGAATGGAGATGATATTGTGTGTGTGTGTGTGTGTGTGTGTGTGGACTAATTAGCTAACTACGCGAGGAGGTGACTGGGTGGCCAGGTGACTAGATCCGAGATCACGTGACCTCCTTTTACACGCCCTATGAGCGAGGACGTAGTCAGCGAGATTATATACAAAGGGAAGATGTGAGGTTGTTCATGTTTCCTAAACAGGAAACAAAACATATGTAGATAAAGGAATATTAGGTGAGATTTCAAACATGATCCATCATGTGATGGCGAGCGACGTGACTGAGGCACGTGACGTAGTTTCGCTTACTTTGTTTGTTGCACGTGACCTTGCTTTGTTTGTTCTGTTTGCTTCGCCTCGCTCGCTTTTCTTTATTGTTCGCACGCGTTCTTATACATTCCTTCCTTTCCCCTCTCATGTTCGATATTCTAGTTTAGACGCATCGAATAAGATATATTTGATTGGCTCTCACAGACTAGCGGCGTGGTCGTTGTCAAATTCCACTACTAACATGGGGGCGGCCCTCCTGGACGACCCTCTTCCAGGGCCTAGCCCAGCCGACGTACGTGATATCCGTCGGCGTGGCGGCCCAGCGATGGGTGTTAGCAGCGAGCAGGCGCTTAGCCAGCTCGCGTTGACGTTTCAGGGGGTTGCTCCTCCCGATCACGTCGACGTCCACGTTGATGAGGGCCACGGCGTACCCGCGACGCTTGAGCACCGCGTCCGCACCCAAGGCTTTGACCCAGGGGGCGTTCGTACGCGCGAGGCGTTCCACGTCCTCCATGTTGTGTACTTCACAATCAAGGAGTCGCGCATATTCTGCGCTATTCTTCCCGAAGAGCTGCTGGCCACGGAGTGGATGAAGAAGACCGGTTCCTTGGCTGTTAACGTCAGGGCTATGGCCACTCTGTCCACGGATCTGACACATCTCGTAGCAGATTCGATTCCTCTCCCGCCGATTCAATTCTCCATACTATTCAACCCAACAATCGGACACGCGCCCTTCTTCAACAACCACGCAATAGCAACAGCACTCATACTGCACCCTTTCACATTTGCCAACTGCTCCACCCGTGAAACAATAACCTCATTCTGCTCCCCAGAGAACCACTTAACCGTCTTTTTATCCTGACTAGACCGATACGTCTGCGCGTTCCACGGCCTAGCCAATAACCGCGAGCCAACGGACTCCAAGGAATCAGCCCAATCCCCTCAGCCCTACAGAACAGATTAACCTCCTGCTCCTTCTTCCGGTAAAGCAAGTTCCAGAGTCCCTGCATACTCGTAAACGTCATCCAATTATTCATCTTCACCGTGTACTGCAACCGCGCCAACTGCCAACAGTACATGCTCGACGCACCCAGATAATGAACTTTGCCCATCCGGACAAGATCATGCAGTGCATCCATTATTTCCTCTGGCTCAGTATCGTCCAGTCGATGTAGCTGTAATACATCAATATACGCTGTGTTCAGGCGCGCAAGTGACCCTTCCACCGCGTCGAAGATATGTTTTCGACTCAGGCCCATCTGATTCACCAACTCACCGTCGTTTATGGCGGGATTGGGTCGCGATGGAGAATCTGGGTCGAAGAGTGGATATTATAGCTTGGTCATGATCACGACCCTGCTTCGTGGGATGTTGTATTTCGCTAAGGCTTTAGCAATTAGAATCTCTGATGTCCTGTTTGAGTAGGAATCTGCTGTGTCCCAAGTGTTAATTCCGCTGTCGTAGGCTTTCTTGAGTAATGGGAGGGCTTCTTCTTCCGGGAGTACCCAGGGACTGCCTTCCCAGGCGGGATTGCTAAAGGTCATGCATCCGAGGATGATTTTGGAGGTTTTTAGGCTGCTTTTGCCAAGGCGTTGGTATTCCATTTTATTGTTATGCAAATGTTACCGCTATGGATATTGTAGCTATGATCCCTGTGCAATGGTGGTAGCTGTGGCTTTGATTCATGATGTTTAAGTTATTCTGGTCTTGATCATCATCAATGTCAGGGAGAGACCGGGGAATATTCGTTGAGAGGTCGGAAAGATTCCCAGTGGGCGGGGGAATCCGTACTACTTTCGGGGTTTTCTCCGCAATGGACATTTTGGCTTGGAAGATTCTACTATCCCAGTCAGGTCTGTTATTTCAACCATCAATATTTATTGATAGATTAATTTAGAAAGGTGATTCCACAGTACCTTCTGTGGCAAAAATTAACACATGGTTGATAAACTCTATTCACAAATACTCTTCGTGTTCTTGGAACAATGGGCTTCCCAAAGCCCTCACACATTGGCTTATCATGTTAAAATGGAGCAAGTCCAGTGACAGAACAATGGGTTATCCCACAATTCATTTTCTCTTAAAGTTTGTATTTATTGAGATGGGAGGCCCGGTGAAGAGATTTAAATCGGCCACAATGGACTCTTTTTCGGATTTGTAGCAGCATATTCAGTTATTGTACTAGTTAGTCTCTATTCACAGTGACTGATACTTCCCACCCCGAGCCCACCTTTGGGTAACACTAATGCGTTGTTCCACAATGTGCTTATACTCTGACGGTGAGCATTCAATTGTGACTCCTGAACCTCCCAGCCCCTCATTCTATGAGCAATACTCTGATTATTTCTTCACTTCACAAATCCCTCTTGAACCCATTGTCCAAGCTAATATATCTTTCCATCAGCCAAAGACTGTTCTGACAGAATCCATCACGACAAAATGGAACAAGTGCGCACCAGAGTGATAGGAAAAATCAGTGACACCTTCAACGCAGTTGCAAAGCATCAAGCCGCGTGGATTGAGCCTGATATCCAGAAAGATCTCGGTCTTATATGTGAGGATCTGCACATCTCAAAAGCTGGAACTCATCAGGATAAGCTCTCACCAGTCTTCTTTAATCCTCTCGGAACGCACAATGTCCCCTCCCCTCATCCTACTGATGATCAGGGGCAAAAGTTTGTCAAGGAGATCTTCAACAATTGGGATAAACCCAGCCCGCGGCCACCAACGGTGACCGATCAAGTTTATAAGTTAGTGGACGGGATACGAGACATTTTCCGAACCAGCCGTCGCGATGTTATGTCAGAGACTGGAAGGTCATTACAGCTGCGGACTTACGCAAACCGGATCGAATGGTGAGCACCTCCTCCCCTGGAAACCTTATGAATGTGTACAACTAGGAGGATTGATCCGGAGCTGACAAACTTATTGGAAGTGGGAATATCACACCGGACCTCATTGCTGAAGAATTCGATGGCCTGTTTTGGGTGTCGCGTGACTCGATGATGGAGTACGCTTATATAGCTATAGATCAATTCAACAAGCCCCACATCCTGCTTGCAACTTTTATGAAGTCTGAAGCAAATGATACGCTTTCCAAATACGAGACTATGGTCATGTTGACGGTCATGTTGACCCGGTTGCAAAGTGATAATTGTCCCGACCACAGCATTATTCCTGTAAGTGAGATCTTCGTGTCAGCTTCAGACGTTGTTCTTTGGAAAGCTCATCTGACTGACTCAAATCTAGATCATGATTATCAGTGTCTTTCCTGGTCTTAAGCTCAGAATCTTAGAGGCCCACTATGATTATAGAGGTCTCGTCGTTCGAAAATCTGATTTCCTTAGCTTCGCGAACAAAGATTCGGCGATCTCGAGCATGGATATTGTGATGAGTTTTATGTGTTCCGAAATGACCGGGAACACGACTGACATGAACATCATGATAGATGTGAGTTCCCATATACTATGGAAGTGGTTTATCTTAAGTGACAGACTAACAATCATTCACAGCCAGTAGCTGAAGTCCCTCCAGCCCTGTCCGATAACTCGAGTCAGGAGTCTAGAATCCGAGAGATGGAATCATGGAGTAGGGGATCTTTGTGGCGAAATGTCAGTCATTCTATCAAGACTTACATTTCGAAGATCAAAAATGCTCTTAACACCTGATAAGACAGAGCGCTTGTGTGCGGAGGATGTCTGGCTAGGTAGCACCTATCGCGTCTGGCTCGTCGCCAACTTCCTGGGTTTATCTTAGCGCACATAACTGGGCACATGATGCCCATGAGATGAGAAATTGTATGTAGAAAGAACTGAATGAGAAGAATTTAGGTAATCGCACGGGCTTTTAATACCAAATAGTTTTGTGACTATTATGTTGACTCTTCTACAAGGTCACCCTACCGTCCATAGGCAAGAGATAATATGATTGGGTCCCCTTTGTTTGCGAGGTTAAGGTATCAGTCTGGTAGCAGTGATTGTTTGCCCAAGTCAAGAAACAGTCAATCTTCTCTACATGCGATATAAAGGCACTTTATATTAAAACCTGTAATTTCTTGCAGAAGGGAACTAGTTCTCACGCCTCTCCATATCTTGTAAATTCAAATAACCCTCACTGTCAGCCTAGCACAGCTTCTAACGTTATGCTTTCCTATAGATTTTTCATCGTAATTCTCTTACTGTCTAGTCTTATGTGTCTGGCGTGTCTGTACGACATAGATGAAGTAACTGCAAACAGACAGGATTCGGTTGGTGGGGGTTCCAGATAGCACAAAACTGTCACACTTGGACGAGTTTTCTTGCTCCTAATACTTTCACAATATTAGCTCCTTGTGAGGTGTCTTCTCGTGCAGTCACTTGTTCACATCTGGTGCGCTCATTTATCTCCGAGTATGACTATGAAGTCGTCCCTGCTCAAGAAGAGGAAGCTTTCAATGCAAGCTAATCCTCCCGAACAAGAGAAAGAGAACTCTGAAAAATCCTCCGCAAAGAAACTCGGAAAGGTCGAACGCTTCCAATTACCCAGTAGTCCAGAGGAATGGCAGGACCTTGTGGAGAACGCGAAATTGGAAGCGTTAACCATCAAGACCTTGCCGACTGAGATGTTCGGCTCAGCTTCCCAAGCGTCTGATAAACAATATCTGATGCTACGCTGCTATTCGCCTAAGATCGTACATCCCACTCACTTCAGCAATCATATGAGCAAGTTCGGATTCTGTAAGAACATGTTGAGGGATGCAACAAGCCTACTTGATCAATCCCGAGACTGGGCTGGATACATTCGGACTCTTCAAGAACATATCTCTATCCGGGAATTGAGGGAATCACATGCTCACCTTTGGCCGGGATCATTCATGGCTGCTAAGCGGCTGCAAGAACAGACAGCCACGGTACAGGGAACGCACGATCTATACAGTCACGCCAACAATCAGAAGTCCGAAAAGTGCCGAGATGCGGAGGATGAAGCAACGCCAAATGCGGCGCTTATTGTTCTGCTTCAGGAAATCACGCACAGTAGAACGAACAGACTTTGAGTGGGTGCTAAACAGAGCTGGATTTCTTGCCGATTTTGGCGATGGGCGACGATATCGCGCCTTCACAGATGGAGTGCTGCGTTCTACAAGTGATTTTAAAGTCTTCTCCATCACTGAAGTCAAGAAGGCTTTTCGGTCGCACCATGTCATTATTCAAGAAGCTTGTGAAATAGCAGCCTTGATGATGACGTCTCCGGAATCAGCGGTTTTCGAAGACCAGTAAGTTAAGTTCCAGGTGCAAGCTCTCTAAACAAGTAACTAACTCTTGATTCTCATGCAGCTTTTTGCTTATATCTCAAGACCGGCACCAAATTTTCTTGACCTTTGCTAAATATGAAAAGGAGCTTGAGAATTATTACAGGAATAATGCAGCCTGTGATAAGTTTCTCATTCTGGAAACATTTGGCCCATATGATGCTGAAGATCCCGGTTGCATTGTTGATCTTGCAAAAGTCATCATTGCTGCAATCTGGATTATAAAAAGAAGCCTTTCGAGTGGGGCGGTTTTACAGAGTCAGACATGATCTGTGACCCTTGAGTACATGCGACGCTCCCGTGGGTGCCCACAAGGCATCTATAAGAGGTCGGCTACGAGCGTTCTGATTGGACTGTTGGAGTTGTGGATGGCTTCATGTTTAAATTACGGTATTTGAGCGATACCGTAAGATTACGAGGAATTGGAATAGAATGGGAATAGGGTCCTGTATAGCTAGATTTCGCAGCTCGGGGGCTGGTTCGGGCCGCAGGCGCTCTTGGAGAGCGCCCTGGCTGTGCTAGTATTAGTGTAATCCGGACATACATACATACATACATACATCAAAGTTCTGGCCATATTATTCCAAGCTGAAGTTACCTATCGCCGATTGGAGCGCTAGTTCGCAAAAAAAAGGTCCTGGACCTACCAGACTAGGTTGTATTTACCAAACTGCATTGAAACAAATTGCGCACACGACGGTTAGTGAATGACTTCTTTAGTCTGCTACTTCCCACCTTTTGGAAACATAGAACGGAGGCAAACCTCCTTTGTCATGTCTATCATCACTTCCATGAGTTTTGTTTTAGCCAACTATTCTTGTTGCAAACTGCACCACTGCCCCTCCTCCATGATGTTTGCTACGATCTTAAAAGGCCTCGCTGTAATCATACTGTTACTAATTGTACATCACGGTTCCATCCACTTCTTTCGACACAAAACAACCATATTCAATACGCCTAAACAGTGTCGCTTGATAATCGCTGCAGATAGTCAGTTCATTAACAAAAGAAATCTGTTGTCACCCTACGAGTCTCGCGCACCCTCCAATTTTAGGTTTAAAACAGCGTTTTGCATCTGAAATGCGTTCACGAGCTCCGATGAAGGCTTTGTGACCCAGCACGTGAAGGACATCAAGATGCTTATATTCAATTCAATTCAACTCATAGCCTTATACCCGATCGAGCCGGCGTAGTGAGATGCTAGCTATGCAGGTGCTTCACCGTTTGAAGCAAAGAATATGGCCCCGAACGCCCTCAATGCCCTCAAACTCACAGTAAACACACGTAAACACACGTAGAAACATGTAAGCAACGCAAACAGAGCATGCCACGACGTAGGAAGGTCGTCGTCGTAGCTAAACACAACTAAACAACAAAAGCAAATGTAAATATAGATGTAAATGAGTGTTGCAGCCGTAGCTGCCTGCGAGCCACCATCTTCCTCCCGTTCTTCGTCCATTATCTTGCTCCCAACATGCCTATTCCTTTTACTTGTATGACCTTCCCTGCTGACTCAAATAGGGCGTGTGTTGTTCCTTCTACCCAGCGTCTTCAGCGTCTATCCCATGGCCCTGAGGCTACGTGTTCACTGCCTTGGTCGGGGTCAGGGATAGGTAAACTGCCCCAGTAAGCCTGCTTGCAGCATGAATTCAGCGATGTAGCGGATTGCCTGCGGGTCTGATATAAGTGAATCATAGTAAGTAATAGCCCCCAGATCCATGCGTGCGGCAATCTTATTAGACATCTAATTGCGTAGACTTACAGAGCGGGGACGCGCCAGCAGAACGTGCTTGAGGGGCCGGGATCCCTCACTGCAGCTGCAGCGGTCACTCCCTTGTGACTGTGACAAGCCAAGAAACTAACATGACCAAAAGAAGTCGGTACTATCTCACTCACATTTTCATATTAGAAGATTGAAGAGAACTTGAAGGGAAACTATCTCCTAATACGTCCGGGGGTCGCGCCATTATATATATTTTAGTGGCTGACTGCCAGCTAGGTAAGACATTTTTATCTCTCATATATCTGCCACTAACTTCCTCCACTTAATTCGGTTCCTCCTGTATACCCCCAGTATCTTTCTTGTGATCTTTCCGGAAAGTTTGATTTCTTGAATATCCTCTGGCTATTGCCATACGCAGTACTCGGTACCTGATGGATCACGTGGCATTTGCGGGACAGTCACGTGATATTATATAGAATAACCGAGATCTCACAGTAGGCCCTGGTAGAGCGCGAGAATCTTCTTAGAGAGAATCTTGAGAAAACACCTGCTAGGGGGAACTGTATATCAAGTCACTGCTTAGATCACTGCACCTGGAACTTCTTGCAAACGGTACTTTTAGCAGCTGAAACCAGCCGGAGTATCTGTTGTCCCGGGCTGTTCCCGCATCCCGCAGTCCGCTTGGCCGTAAAATTCTGCAACCTCGCTCTCGGTCGAAAGTTGTGTTTGTCTGCCAGGGCTGCAGCTCAGCAGGGTGCCTCCCGGAAGAGAGAGGAACAGGGCCACCTCGACGCCTTTCAACTGGGCCGTGCACACGGTCCAATCGACCTCAGTGCCCAGATACGCTCTCTGGGTCTCGGCAGTGCTGATCCTGACTGCAGAGACACCAACGCCTTTGGAAAAGCTGGTACCGCCCATGTATGAGGTAAGGCTGGTCGAGCTCACGGAGCGCGGTCACGCGAAATTATATACTGCACTGGATGCGGGGCTGTCAAGCCGCCAACACAAACGTTGCGACAACGCTAGCAGTGCCGGGGATCCCAAGAGTCGACGTGACTCAAACGGAAGCGCGTCGTGTGCGTGTTAAAAAGGGGGAAAGCCAAACAAGCTCTGCTTTACGGGATCAAACGGGTGCACCGTTGGAAGTGTTGCAAGTGTCAGCGTATATGGAGGGCTTCGGGGTGTGAGAACCTAAAGACCGCAATGACTAATCGTGTCTGAATGAAGCCTGTGTATTCACGAGGACTAACAAATCTAGGAAAGAAAAGAAAACTATCTACTCCCTGGGGATCGAGCTGCTTTATATATCTTCAGAGGTCGATCCCTGCTCGGTAAGTTCCATCCCTTTCCTGCTAACCTCTACTAACTTCCTATCAGCCCTTCCGTTCCTTCCTTCTTTCCTTCGGCCTGTTCCTGTCTTGCCTCCTGGCAAGTCCCGTATCCTAATTATCTCCTCGGGGGTTGCCGTCAGCAATCCTTTGGATCGGAGAGGTCACGTGACCTGTGCGCGACAGTCATGTGATGAGGTATGGGATGACCGAGGTCTCACACGGGGCCAGGTGGAGGCGTCGTTTGGTGTAGGTATCTCTTGTCGGGCCCGTTTGTTGCTGCATTTGTTTATCTGTTTTATTGCTTACAAGCATTGCAGCTCTCGATTTAGGCCGTCTCTTCAAGCGAGAGGGAGGAGGGTTGGAAAGGCGTCCTGAATCCTGGCAAACAAAGGGAGGTTGTTGGATTAAGGTTGTATGTGTGGGTCTTCTTCACTAGCCCTGCTAGCCCCACCCACTCTATTCCCACGACCACTCTACACCGTGACTTAACGAGAAATCAAAGTTTTTGGGTTCTGGGGGGAGTATGGTCGCAAGGCTGAAACTTAAAGAAATTGACGGAAGGGCACCACCAGGCGTGGAGCCTGCGGCTTAATTTGACTCAACACGGGGAAACTCACCAGGTCCAGACAAAATAAGGATTGACAGATTGAGAGCTCTTTCTTGATCTTTTGGATGGTGGTGCATGGCCGTTCTTAGTTGGTGGAGTGATTTGTCTGCTTAATTGCGATAACGAACGAGACCTCGGCCCTTAAATAGCCCGGTCCGCATTTGCGGGCCGCTGGCTTCTTAGGGGGACTATCGGCTCAAGCCGATGGAAGTGCGCGGCAATAACAGGTCTGTGATGCCCTTAG